ATAATTAAGTGTTCTGGAATACCCATTCTTAGCAACATTATCCATGGTTTATCATGGTCCACACATTTGAAAGCCTTTGCATAATCAATAAAGCACAGGTATTCTCTGGTATTCTCTACTTCCAGCGGACATCCATTTGACATCAGCAGTGAAATCCCTCATTGCACATCATCTTCTGAATTCAACTTGAATCTCTGGACGTTCCTGCCAATGAACTGTTGTAGCCGTTTTTGAATTATCTTTAGCAAAATTTTACTTGCATGTGATATTAATGCTATTGTTTGATGATTTCCGCATTCCTTTGGGCCACCTCTCTTTGGAATGGGCACAGATAAGGATTTCTTCCAATCAGTTAGCCAGGTAGCTGTCTCCCAAATTAACTCAGATGAGTTAATGCCTCCAGTGCTGCCTCAGTTCAATTTTTATCCCATCAAGTCCCTGAGCCTTTTTCTTTGCAAATGTTCTCAGTGTACCTTTGACTACTTCCTTCAGTACTATTGGCTCTTGATCATATGTTACCTCTTGAAATGGTTGAACATCAACCATTTCTTTTTGGTACAACAGTGACTCTTTGTATTCCTTCATCTTCTTTTGATGTTTTCTGTTTCATGCAATATTTTGCCCATAGAATCCTTCAATATTTCGACTTGAGCCTTGAATTTTTTCTTCAGTTTTTTCAGCTTGAAAAATGCTGAGCATGTTCTTCCCAGGTCTTTGCACATTTCCTTATAATACTTGGTTGAATTCTTGAGCTGCCTTTTGAAATTTTCTGTTCAGTTCTTTTAACTCCTCATTTCTTCCATTTGCTTTAGTATCTCCACCCTAGAGAGCAAGTGTCAGAGTGTCTTCAGACATCCATTTTGGTCATTTTCTTCTTTTTTGTCTTCTTGATGACTTTTTGCTTTCTTGATGTCAGTACACAATTGTTTTGGTTTTGGGTCATTAGTGTATAATAAATTCAGGTGTGATACATTCAAAGTCACATTTTTTGCTTTCATGGACTTATATTAATTTTCTTCAGCTTCAGCCTGAACTTGCATATGAGTAATTATTGGTCTATTCCATTGTCTGCCCCTGGCCTTGTTCTGACTGATGATATGAAGCATTCCCACAAATGTAGTAAATTTGATTTCTGTAGATGCTGTCTGGTTAGGTACATGTGTATGTTATTGTTGTTAAGTGCAGTCAAGTCAGTTCCAACTCATAGCGACCCTGAATAGGGTTTCCAAGGAACAGCTGGTGAGTTTGAATTGCTGACCTGTGGTTCAAACCGACCTTGCAGTCCAGTGCTTATATCCCACAGCACCTTACCAGGACTCCATCTTTTATATTGTTTACAAAAGGTATTTGTAATGAATAAGTCCTTGGTCTTGCAAAATTCTATTATGCAATCTCTAGCATTGTTTCTACAACCAAGGCCATATTTCAAATAATTGATCCTTCTACTTTGTTTCCAACCTTTGCATGCTAATCACCAGTAATTATCAATACATCTTGATTGCATGTTTGATAAATTTCAGACTGAAAAAGTTGGTAGAATTCTTCAATTTCATCATCATTGGCTTTAGTGGTTGGTGTGTAAATTTGAAGAATAGTGGTATTGATTAGTCTTCTTTGTAGGCCTATGGATATTTTCCTATCACAGACATTATACTTCAAGATACATCTTAAGTCAAATGGACACAGTAATAATAATACCCATTTCATAAGGTCATCAGGAAGAGTAAATGAAAAATACCCTTAGAAATGTGCTTGATACGAAGTACTCCAAATCTTCTTCTTCTTTATGATTTCCTTTATTAACTTTTAAATTTCTTACTTTTTCATGTTCTTCTCTTTCTCCTCTTTGTTGTTTATATTTCCCATTACCTCCTTCTTCTTGTCCTCATATTATTATTATTGATTGGTTGGTTGACTGATTTCTTCCCATCGAAATCCCAACCACCCAGCATAGTAACATCAGCTTCATCTTGTTCAGGAAAAGCACCGTGATAGTTGCTCCACTCTTTGAGATCCTTTTGTATGGATGGTATGGAGGCAAGACTTCTAGTACTTACATTTCATCACCACTTTGTACATATACCATTTCTGTTAACCTACATGTGTTCACTCCAATCTGACCTGTCCTCCTTTTCCTCAGGAATCCCTTTGCTCTTTAACTTTCTTTTATTTCCTAATTTGGGCCTTATGGTTTGAAAATAAAGGGTCTAGGAGTAGAAAAAGGAAGTCTGAGGTAGAGGGTCAAATTTTCTCTTTCTGAAATGTCCTTCTAATGAAGCCATTTGTAATATGTGGTTTCTTTGACTAGCCAATGATATTTTAGGCTGGTATTCTACTTGGTATTACACAGCAAATATAAAGGACAAGCTAATACACATTTTAGGGTTTATGGGTAACATATGGTTTTGGTTGCATATTCATTGTCTTCTTCTTCTCCCTCCCACCCCCAACAACCCTTTAAAAATGTGTGGGTCATATCAAAAGTGGCCATGGCCAATGGGCCATAGTTTGACAACTCTTACTATTAGCAATCACAATATTTTTGTCCCTATTGTAACCTCTTATCAAGTTTTCACTTTAAAAAAAAACACACAAAAACAACTAACAACATAGTATAAAATAATAAATAATAGCCAAATTGTCCCAGTTTGTTCTTTTAGCAGCCTTGGGTAACTCTCAGACATTACAGGCATGATTAACTGTGGTTTTTCTGTAGATGGCTGTCAAACCTCTCATCCCAGTTTCCTTGTCAGACTCTGACTATCTAGTTTAATGTTCTCTTCAAAACACAAAAAAATGTACATCAAAGGCCCAAATTAAGCAGATCACTCCTTTAAATTCAGCAAGTACCATAAGACCTTATCTTCTAGGTCAGGGCTACTGCAATTGTGCATCAGACTCAGAAATTCATCTTTTTTTTTCATTCAGCTCATTGATTGTCTCTTGTCTCACTCTGGTCAGAGGTCTTACTAGTTTTATTAGCCTATCACTTAAAAAGTAAATTTTTAGAATTTTTAGATAGAATCTAAAGGTCTTCAGGAACTTAGAGTCACTCCCCGTCATATACCCACCTGGACAGTTTGGATGGTCACATGTCCTCGATTCGGTAGCAGTGCATGCATAGCCACAAGACCGGGTCCTTTTCTGGTTACCATTCCCACACGTAACACTGCAGACAGACCAGAGACTCCAGTCACCCTCACCATCCATGGAATCTGGAAGGGATCCAGGGAGATAGTCATCAGCCTTGCCCAAACAGTCCCCTGTCTTCCCCATCAAGCAGCTCACCAGGTATCCATTTCCAGCATCTCATTGTTGGAAATGGGCAGACACCAGTTGCAGCCAAAAGGCTTACAGCCCTAGGGTTCATCTTAAGGACCAGCTTCATTAGGGCAGGCATTTTATATGACACTTAAGACACTGTAGTGATGAGTACAAGGCCAAGACTTGACCCCGAGAAGATGCTCCACAAATACTTACTGAGAATGAATCTATTTGTAGGAATGGGATAATGGAATAATAGTGAATCATTTCTAAAGATGACCACCACCAGTTCCTTTCCTCCCTGTGAACACATCTGCCCATCAACATATGGGATCTAGTTCACCTTCTTTAGAATGAATCTGGGCTGACTAATTAAATGCAGTGGAAATGGTGCTCTGTTGCTTGTATGCCTAGGCACTGACAGGCCGGGAAGTTTCAAATGTTTGCTCTGGGGAATCCTTGTCATTGTGACAGAAGCTCAGGCTAGATTTTCACATTAACAGACATTACAAAGAAGGGGAGCCACTGAAGGATTGAGTCACCAGGCACCAACCTTCTTGGACCTTCCAGCCCTGCACAGGGACACCTGAGTGCAGCTGGATACGTGACTTAGAACTGCTGAGAGGAGCAGAATTACTGCACAGTGGATTCCAGCCTGAAATCCTGAGCCACAGAACCACAGAACTAATAAGTTGCTATTGTTTTAAGCACCCATGTTTTGGGATGATTTGTTACCCAGCAATAGAAAATTGATACATACAATTAAAGGAAGAAATACTCTTTTTTAGTCATCACTCAATATCTCTTAATTGAAGTCCTACTACCTGAAAGATAGATGGTTTGAGTGTATCCAGAGTGTCTCAGAAGAAAAGCATGGTGATTTGCTTCTGAAAAATCCACTATTGAAACCCTGTAGAGCACAAATCTACACTGATACATACAGGGTCAGCATGAATTGGAATTGACTCGGTGGTAACTGGTTTATTATTATATTCCAGGCATAATTTTATTTACGTGGGATACATCATTAAATAATACTTCCAAAGATTCTTGCCAGGAGGAACTAACTAAAATGTAGAAAGAGACAAATGATAATCAGTAAACATCATAAATATGTAAAGTATATAGTATGTGAGAAGTTGATGACTGTTATGGGCAACAGAAAAATAGACCAGGTTCATGGGACTTGGAGGCTAAGAAGTGTGGGAAAGTTTGGTCCATTATAAAGAATGAGAATGGTTAAGTGACTTGTCTAAGGTCATGCAGTTAACATAAAGAAAAGATTGAGCTATAATGCTAAGCCCTTGATCTCTAAAGCATTACTCTTTCTGCAGCTTCTCCACAGTGTAATCATTTATCCTGGTCTACCCAAATGCTCCTATAGCCCTGGGGCCTCTTCTGGTGCCAAGCATGGAGCAATAGGCATGTACCTCACACGGAAGGGTACCCTCATTCATAACAGGTTGTGTGATTGTTATTACATAGTCCCGGCAAGAATGCTGTCCACACATGTTTCTACCTGAACTGTGGGTCTCCTGCCAGCCTTGGAGCCAGTTGTTTACGTGGTGTTCACTTAGAACACTCCTTAGGCAAACACAGCATTGGAATCTCTTCAGCCCATTAAGCAGAGTCAGGAGGAGATTCATGGCTGTATCCTATTCCCTACGCCTGGGGGAAAAGTGTGTCTCATACCTCCCTTCCGCAGGAGCCCCATCCACTTCTCCCCTTGCCCCTAAATAACTTTTCCAAACTCTGATTTTCTTTTAAGAAATGATTTTCCAAAAACACAGCCAAGGCAGATGTTTGAAACCATTGCCTTATGTGAGAGTTGGGCCTGTTTCTTCAGCTTCAGCCTCCTTTACCATTTTAGCACTTTTTTCTAGACATCAATGAAGTAGAACTGCAGAGACAAGACGCTTCCAGGCTTCCAGAGCAAAAAGCCACTGGGCTAGGAGTGTTTGCTCTTCTCTCAGAGACCTGCACAGTCCTAGGCCCAGCCAGTCATCTTCCCAAGAACCTGGGAGATGTAGATGTAGCTGAAGCAATCTCCCAACCACACCTTTGTCAGTGGGAGCATCCAACTGCCATGGGCTCTACACATACATGCATACACTCAACCACAACCTGCACACTCCACTGAGGTCAGATTTTTTAAAGGGAACAACAACCAAAAACGAGTCACAAGTTAAGAGTATAGTTTTAGACTTGTAAAAAGGGGGAAGTGAATAAGTCAGAAAAGCCTATTAAATCACATTTAAGTAGAGTTCATATCACCTGTGAGGTGGGTACAAGCATAAGAAATAATTCAATGTCAAGTGATGTCCTACTTGGCTCCTCAAGAGCAATGGCGTCTCAACTACCTAGAAATCTTCTTCAGGCTTTCCTCCATAAAACAGCAATGTAGAGAGTGTATTTAGGGAAATTTGAGATTTTAACATTAAGCTGTAAATTCAGATAAGGCACATATTGGAATCATTGCATGAAGTAATTTCTTGATTTTGTTTCTTGGAACGAAATTACTAAATACTAACACTAAGGTATTAAGACTAATACTAATACTAGAGTGTCTGAACAATGACTTCTGTAATTCCTCTTCCCATATCCCTATCCCCATCTTTACTCCCCTTTTATACTGATCTCAGGCTGTCACCCTTCATGACTTGCTTTGACCAATGAGACAATAACAAACCTGATACAAGCTGAGACTTGAGAAGTACTTGTGTATTTGGATTATTTGCTAGTGGGGATTCTTGCTCCACAGTGTGAAAAGCCTGGACTAGCCTTCTGGAGGGTGAGGAAGTATGTGCAGAGGAGCCCTAGCCAACTCAATATCCCAGCCGAGGTTCCATCATTGTAAATGAGGCCATCCTAGATCATGCAGCTCCAGCCAAGCCAGCATAGACCAGCAGAACAGTCCAGACCACCCACAGAATCATAAGAGAGATTCCATTTGTTGTTTTAAGCCACTAAATTTTGGGGTAGTTGCTTAGTGTAAAAACTGTTGCAAATACGCTATGTAATTCTCCCTAAAATGAGATCTCTTAATGGGGACCAGACTCGGGAACCATTACAGATTCATCATCCCATTAAGCAGCCTTCATCACATCTTTGTTTTAGTTGCTCACAAAGAAACACTTCCCCTGCCCCAGATATTTTTTATATGAATACCTAAAAGTTAGGCATAGAATATCTGGATAGTTTGTCTAACCATTTCTATTGAAACTAGCCCTGATATGACCTAGGAAAAAAAACATGTATCTCAGCTCACCACTTGGAAGCCTCCACAGCATCTCAGCTCAGATGAACATCCATCCAGGCAGAGATGCCCTCTTGGAGACTTTCTATTGTTTAATGTATTCAAGAGACAGAAAGGGAATTTCTGAGTACGTGACAAGTCTTTGAGGGCAATACTGCTTTCTGGTGTAATAGGCCTGTTCTTATTCACCCACCTACCATGGAGCAGTGTTAGAGAAGAAAATGAATGTTAACAACAGACATCACAAAGATAACAACAACGACAGTAAGAAGCAGCCCCCAGGAACATTTATGTGGTGCCTTGACAGACCTTATCGGAGACATCAAAGAGCTCAATGAGGAAAGAAAACAATGCTCATGCAATGGGCTGACAGCTGTACTTTGAAGATGCTACTCCTATAGTACTGTTCAAAGGAGCTCTGGTAGCGTAGTGGTTACGAATCGGGCTGCGAACCGCATGGTCAGCAGTTTGAAACTATCAGCTGTTCCACAGGAGAAAGATGAGGCTTTCTACTCCCATAAAGATTTACAGCCTCAGAAACCCTGTACAGGGCCGCTTTGAGTCGGAACCAACTCCACGACACATAACAACAACTGCTAATTTTAAAGATGTTCTCATATAGTCTCAGAGAACTGGAGTTCTGGGGACCAGTTAAACTATCAGGATAACTGAAATGACTTGGGTCTTGACTTGGCCCCTGGCCAAGCCTCCATCATTTCCCCTAGATGACAGTGGCCACCGCTGAGTGAGAGGCTGCTCGGAACAGCTGTCCTACATATAAGCACTGACTGAATTCCTACATAACTCTTAAGTAAGTGAAAACAGCCTTCTTTCAATACTTGCAAGCATTTATATTATACTTGGACAGAAGCTTGCCAACCTTCTTGCTGGACATACAGAATCTATTTATCAGCCTCCTTAAAACTTGTTGTTGTTAAGTGCCATCAAAGCGACCTTGCAGTCCAGTGTATTAACCCATAGTGCCACACCAGGACTCCTCCTTGAAACTAGATGGGACCATATCACTTGGTCTTGCCCATGCAATTTGAATAGATGTGATGTGTTACCTCCCGCTGAGGTAGTTCAGAGCATGTGAGTGTCTTTTCCAGGCAGCCTCTCTTTCCTTCACTACCAGTCAGAAGCAGAGGACACAGCAAATACCTCTCAGGCCTTAGAAGTTGGTGGAGCTCCAAGACAGAAGGATCCTGGGTCCCTGAGTGACAGAGTGAGATCCCTACACCCTGTCTCCCACTCCAATTCAGATGAAAGTAAACCTTTTTGATTTTATGCCACTGAATTTGGAAGTTGTTTGCTACCTAAACTATCCTACTATAAATACTGGGAAATGAAAATTCAGGCTCACTCTTTAAATATAGTAGGGTGTGTCCTTACTTTGACAACCTGTGATATACATGTTCATGTGGCTTCTTAAGGAATCCACTTCTCCATCTTCTGCCAATTGCAAACATGACACAGTGCCTGGTTGAAGGAAACAGCTGGATATGTCTCTAAATTTATTTTCAATATGAATTTTTACAGTAAGAAATCCAAGGAAATTAATTTGGTTATGTCTTCATTTTTAAGAAAAATAACATTTTTCCAAAAAAAGGCAGGACTCCAAAGACCCTTAACTAAAAAAAAAAAAAA